AATCGCCACGGAACAGTGATTACACATTATATCCACAACAGAAAGAAAACAACAACAACGGAATTGATATGATTAATCTGGCTTGTGGGTGTTGAATTGCCAAGGGTCAGCTGTACTTTTATTCCCCTTGCGTTCCACCCTGGCCTTTCACGCAACCTATGGGTGATTGCGGTTTAGAAATCATTCAAACGGCTTGCGTGCGTGCGTAGAAATCCCCGCGTCTATTTTGGTCAATAAATCATTTCAGCAATTAGTAATTTGGCAAATATGGACTCGCAGGAAATGCATTCTATAGCAGAGCGATTATTTACGATCTTGCAGTGGCTTATTAAGTAAATATTTTGTGTGTTGTTAAGGGCACCACTGCTTCCCCACCCCCAGCCCCACTCTCCCCACCCCCGACGGAAATCAGTATAATCACTTATAGAAGGAGAACCCGATGAAATAACATCCACCGAAGATGAAAAGGAGAAGTTTCTTATCTGACTTTGCGAGACCCCACGAGCAACCACGAGAAAGCTACCCTCCTCTGATCGGCCTTCGAGGGCGCCCTCCCACACGTCGAAACAAACCTCGAAGCGTCAAAGTGAAATTAAGCACACCCCGAAACAGTTTGTTTGTTTGTTCAATCATTACTCACTCCGAAGCGTACTTGCCCTCCTTTAAACCACAACAGTACTTCGAGATTAGAACAGATGAAGAAAAAAAAACCCATTAACAAACTAAATTAAAGCAAAAATAAAACAGCTTCAAACATTACAAACGATCTGTGTTTGTCACACTAGGAAATAAAAGCCACAATGAATACCGCAATTCGCTTGACGCACTACTTTTGTTCCCGGAATAGGGCGTCCTTGACAATAACTATTTCGACATGCGGCATAGTACAAGTCAAGGTGAAGCTTGCTTAGTACTCATCTATCTATCGTTTAATGTTATTACGCAAACAAGCACGACGGCTGTTACATGTCTGTCCCTTGGTAAAAAAATCTAATTAACGAGAAAAGTTGCCCCTCTTCCTAAAAAAATATCTGATGCGCCCCAAAGTTTTTTTTGGTCAGCGTAGCCGCTCATGGCATTTACGTTTAATATGTTTTAAAGCAGTTCTCATTGAGCTCGTCAAAATAAGATTCTAGGTTGGCAACTTTTCTTTCGTTAAAGCTTATTTATTTATTATTTATTTATTTCAAACCAGATTTATTGACAAGAAGAACAACAATTACCATTGTTTGGTCGTGCACGAAAGTGTCGTCGCATAAAATCACAATATCGGAATATCATCATAGGCCAATAAATGTCTAGCATGCTGATTAATACAGTGTTTCACACGCTTGGCGCATAGTAATATAGCAGAAAAAATACACCGCGTACGTGCAGCGCTCGTCAATTATGCAGGTGGCTATTTACTGTATCGAGAAAGAAAAGGCATTCATGAAAACTGGCAAACTGAATGCATTTTTGTCTTTATTTGTTTAGCTACGCTTTTAAAGTTCTTGTATATGGTTGTAGCACTGAAATGTTCGCATTGACAAAATGCAAAATGTGTAGTTCTACCTAATCATAAGCAAAATCCAAAGTCTTATACCCATGATTGGAAACTGATTATTTTCCCTTTTTAATCAAAATTCTAATGATGGCAGGATTTAGGCTAGAATCGCAAACTGTATTGTTCTGACAACGACCATAGGTAGTGGATGCACCGTGAAGCGTGGATGACGTTTCAAGTCAATTTTCGAGGGTCGTCCATCTGACTTTTATGGGTGTCATGTTGATGAATGTAGGTCATTTGATGCGAGATGAGAAAAAGTCTAATTAGACAATTCGCCAAAAGCCTGGATGACGCTTCCGGCCACTTTTCAGGGTTATCTTTTGGGTGTCACTTTGACTGATGCGGTGGGCTGAAAATATAGCGGTTGCCTTACGTTCGGCGTCAAACCAAGGCTTCTCATGCTCTGCAGAGACTCAACCACTGTCAGCCTATTAACACCTGCAGGGGATATTCATTGACAGAAGAATCATTTACAAAGACGCCGATCCGTGGACATATTAAAAGAATGGCAGCAGCAAAGGAAAACAAAACACCGATATTAATCGGATTAACAAAGCAAAACGGGCTACAAATTCTCAACAGTTTTAAAGAAGATAGTTTGATGGAAACGAGGTTAATTATTAACTAACTATCTTTAGTTCCTCGGATTTGCCAGTGGGTCGCTTGGGCGGTTGCAGTGGCCTATCCAGCAAAGTGGTGGACGGGGTGGGGCAGAGGGGGGCAACTTGTTCCCTTTGCGACTTTTTGCCATTTTATTTATACTTGGATTTTTAAAATTTTATTTCAGGAAACGAAAGCGCAAGGATGCTAGCACCTCAAAGCCGTTATACCAATTGTAATATCACCGCGTTTTACACGAACAAAAATATTGGGCCATTTTTTTTCCAGAAATAAAGCAATTTTGAAAGAAGGACCGAACTGAGAAACGCTGAGGTACAAAAAGAGTCTTCGTTTTCAAACTCCAAGATGGTGATCCACAGTGATCTACAATAAAGAGCAGATTTGGAACAAAACGAATTCCAACAGAATAACAGTTATATTATGATGATGTTTTCTCAAACCCAACAGGGGCGGATCTAGCTTGCAGGAAACCGGGGGGGGGGATGAGTCTAAGGCGTGCCCAAGGCACGCCCTTCTTGAAGGGTGCGGCCGCATGAACCCGGAAAATTATGAGATCTACGATGCCTTCTCCTGCATTCTAAGACAATTCAAGAATTAATTCAGGAACTTTAGTTTTCCATTTACTATGAGTTCCCACCCCTCTAGATCCGCTACTGCTCAAAAGCACCCATGAGAGAAAACGCTATAAAAAAAAACAGAGGAATATCAAAAAGAGGAAAGCGATAGATTTTTTTTAGTCAGTATCCAATTGAGCACCATGCCACGACAAAAAATTCCTGGTCAATTAAGATAATAGCAAAACTCGTATAGCTAATGCTAAATGCTAACTGGTAATACACTTGTGATTATATACGGTGGAAAATTAAAACCACGTAGACTATGCGGCTCCTCTGAAAAAGAACTCAATTATCTTGATTATTATACTACAAAAAAATCACCTGTTCCAAAGTGATAGTCAGTTCTAATTAGCTAAAACATAAGCACAACCAAGAGCTTTAATACTCAGATTATAAAAAAAAATACTTACGAGTGTCGTGTCATGAAACAAGTGTATTATACCATTCCTTTTGAATGTTCCAAATATTGTTTGCAGTAAAAATTAACTTATTAAACAAACGCATAAAAAAACGAGGGAGACGCATGACAGTATGTTCCTTTCATGGAAAATATTGAATGAATATTCATGAAAAAAAAGGAATTTATGTAAAGATATCTTTTCTCAATTATTAGTGGTAGTCAACAAATCTGATAACATTTTAAAAAGGAGGATCTGAGGTATATGAAACTGCGAAGGTAACAGAGTTTTAAAAAAATGTAAAAAAAATCAAGTTCGCTTTAAAATAGACGCATGAAACATGAACGAAATGACAAAAATTGGTGGACGACGGATACATTTCATATTATTTGTCAAACTCGACAATGGACGCATCGATCTGAACAGGGAGAGAACGTGTTTAATTGATGCCTTTGAAAGGAAGGCTTTAAAAATATAAATAATTAAAATTCCAGCAAATTCGTTACACCATCGTTTACTGCAAAAGCATAAGCATCTTTTTTTGCAATTCATACATTCATTCATTATCCCACCATTATCTCTTGAATGATATATGAGATATATACATTAATTATATGTTTCTATGGCTTTAAACGTCGGCTTGGTCCATTTCTGTGATGGTTGGGACTTTTGGAAAAGTTCAAACGACGGCAGTCTCTTTCGATCTTGCACAATGGTTACTAAATAACTGCACTCAAAAAAGAGGAAGTTTACTGATCGAAGAAGGCCGATAAATTTGCGTCTAACGCCACAAAACAATAGCCTACTGAAAGAGACTTGAACTAGGTTTGCACGGTGGACATGAACAAAGAATGGAATGTTTGCGGTAACACCATCAGGTGAATAATATCTCTTTTAAGATGTGTGGTTCTGAGAAGAACCAGCTGGTTTAACGCGACGTTTCGAACAGTGTGCTCTGTTCGTCATCAGGAAACTGTCGAACTCTGGAGGCTTGGATTCGGCATTAGGGGGATTAGTTCAGTGCCTTTAAGGCGGGATGTTCTGCAACAGGATGCTAACAATAGCCTCTATAAATTATGGAAATGTATTTTAAGTTAAGTTAGTAAAAGTACGAGAATTTTTTGTTTTACATGTATCTGCATAAAAGCTTTTTCTGTCGATACGCATCGGTAGGTAATTAGAACTGCTAATGGGATGTTCCTCTCCGCCTAAGCCGACCTTGTCAACTAAAAGATGATGCATTTCGGAAATAAAGAAAATTATGTATATTTAATGAACCGGCGCTTTCTAAAATGGAAAGTGGTAGTAGTATATCAGACGACCCAGAGCACGGAAGAATAAGGGATTGTCTCGTATATGTTGACATGCACTTAGACGGTTTTATACTCTAATACCATGAAAACAGCGGGGGCGGAACGGTTTTCAAACTGGAAGAGGGGCATCACCAAAAAGGGGCACTTGCTCAGTAAAAGGCATCTTCCGTCGGTACGGTGCAGCACCGTCACCAGCATTTTGGAAACATCCGTGCTGAAATGTCGACACGTTTTGTTTCACAGGACACTTGGCCTCCCTAATATCAAATGGGGGGGGGGGGGGGGGGGGGCATTGTAAGGGTTTTGGGACTTCGTTTTCATATTCCTCGTTCATATCAGAACTGTTTGGGAAATGGTTACTGAAAACAAATTTTGCCTTTTGGAAATGTTGTACCATCTTTCAAACTATTGTTCCGAGAATTGTTTACTCGGCAGACTCTAGAAACAAACAACAAACCGAGCCTCACACAATAAAGACACAACACGAAGTGGCCAACAGGACTATTTTCTTTTTCACTTCCCCAAATGTTATCGTTTAATAGTTGTTAAAATTTAATACATGCATACTGTCACACGGTGTAGATTAAAACTCTCACAGATGGAAACCATACTTATCATTGTACAGGACATTCTTTGGAAAACGTTTAAGAACATTTTTAGCATCTTTGATTCGAAGAACATTGAACGAGTTTTTCGTAAAAGTTTATATGCCTTTATATGGAAAACGTAAATGCTCGTTCATACATTAAACAATGTCCGTGGTTAGTCAACTAATGTTTTCCCTTCAGTATATTAATGTCAACTGTTTACTTCAAATTTTACAATATGTACACACAAAAAACTCCCTTGAACGGAAATGGTGGTCCCATTGTACAAAATAAGGGTTCAGTTCGGATCCACGGGAAGCAAGAAACCCTTTAGTTTATAAACAATCAGTCGTAAGTAGTACAATTTCTGATTTTTTAATTAGGGTCATCATTCCAGACGGATCGATCTCAAATGTTCCCGGCCTTCTTTTTTTTTCTGGTTAATTTGGATCAGCCACAAAAGAGATCCGAACAACAAAATGACGTCCTTCAGAACACATGTCTAATTAGCCGCGAGTGTCACCTTCGAAACATTCTTAACACTGTGACTCAAACAGAAAATAAGAATACCGGCGTGTCTCAGCCAAACATCAAAATAAGAGAACACATTATTTTGCACAATGTTGTTCGAAGGACGAAGCGACCATCGGACAACATACTGTTTACACACACTTTCTGTACAACCCGTGCTGTTAAAAGTGAGAAACCCGTTCAAGAAAAAGGGTGGTCACGTGAGATACGGCAGACCCAAACAACAAAATATAACTGAAAGAGGTAGATTGTTGCAAATACAGAAGCTAAATTCTCCCTGATTTTGTTTTAGTACAAACCTTTACAATGTGTAAACTACAAAACTACCCATGCACGACCTAATAAAAACTACACTTTAATAGAATCCCAACCCTATATTCAAACTTTTTGCATGCAACTTTGGAGCGAAATATAGTTGTCATCAGCTGCCAAGTTATTGCCCATGTATACAAAAATAATAATTATAATAATATGGAGTTATTTGGTGTATGGATATGAAGCTTGTTATTGTACACGCATGCGAACGCAGCAAAACCGCCATTTTGATTTTGCCCTTGGTTTGTCGCCATCTTTGGTATCACCTGAACGCTACAAACAGCTGCATTTGAAGTATTCTTTTGTTAAGCTTTGTACGCAACTTAAGACGGTGTATTAGGAAATTTTAACTCCACGAAAAACGGACTCGACCCGTCTTGCTTATGTGTCAAGTTCACTGAACAAGAGCAGTATGGCGGGAAGTCTATGAATGTTTTGGCGTCAACATTTCATACGACACTTTCTTTGAGCAGTCAAAGGCCAACAAATAAATATGGATTCGCGTGTTTTTAGACTGCCATGCAATAAACCTAAGTCAAGAGGTAATTAATCCTGTGGCGACTTAATATGTACTTTATCTTTGCCGTTAAAACCAACTAATTATTTTAAAATAATTAACATTGTGGCTAGTACCTTTTGTACAACGTAAAAGCTTATAATCACCACACAGCGTGAACAAAAAATGACAATCGTAAAAATGCAAAGACGATGTATGGATTAGTGTCACGTGTTTGGAGTTGCTGGTAGATCATAATCGGCCTTATTGTTCAATACAGCAACGACTGCTGGGCAAAATGGTAATACACAAAATACAATGTATATGCATTTTTATTTCCAGATTTTTCTCGTGTTTTTTGCGTTGATAAAATCAACACTGGCAACGGTTTATAGCCATACCAGTTCACGCTACTGAAAGTAGCCATCTTGATCATGTCCCCGACCACATTGCCTATACTTGTGGTATATCAATCAATAGCCCGCGAGCACCAGTCTATAATGTTGAATTAACTTAAAACCACATTGGTGTCCAACAGTGCCCTGCATCGTGTCTAGTGCAAGAGTAAAAAGCTAAGATGGCGGCTGCACACTGAGGTCATATTGCATGGAGGGAACAAAATGTCAAAACTTAAAAATACTGCACCCAAAAATTGCATTATTCTGTCATCATCAGCTGCAACGATACACACACCTTTTTTATAATGTGTTTATATGACTTTGGTATTCAGGAACACTCAGAGCGAGAAAAAATATAAATCCCTAATCGCACCAATCAAATCTATTAGATCTACATACTAATGATTAAAAAAACCTTGTACAGTGCAAGGTACTTTTACACCGAATCAAAATGTGTTGATCTATTTTTTACAGACCAAAAAATACTCCACGTTGAAAATTAAAACAAACATTCAAAACGAAATGCATTATCTATCAGAATGGAATTTGCAGACATCAAAAGACGTATTCGGACTGTGAGACTATTTCAACAAGGATACTTCATCAGCACTCAAAACAACATCCGAATGAATTATCTCTGAGGGTGTATCAGACCAAATACCAGCAACTATTGAAATAACGATGGAATATCAATGTGTATTCTAATCAATCATAAAAATGAACTCATTAATTCTAAATAATAATTTATATAATTAAACTTCTGTGACCTTCATTTTCAACATATACTACATTGGTTTTCTGTTTAAAGGATTGTTTGTCCAGACTAAGTTTAGAGGGAAAACATTCGCCATTAATTTCCACTTTCAATGTTTGCCGAAGGCGAGTACCCATCAGCTCACATAAACAAAGAAACCGAAACGAAAATACGTGTTCTCATTATTAGTTAACATTCTCATTAAAAATTGCCAACAGGGAAATTGGAATTTCAAAGAAGCGAACTTTGAAGCCACGTTTATACAGGAACATTTCCAATTACCCGAACAATTATACCTAACGATTTAAAAACAGAAAATGTGGATCAAAGAGAAGACATGACTCGTATTAAATACTATTCCACCTGAAATGGTATGTTGGGCAGAAAACATTGGTTTTAAAATGGGTGCCAACGGCGCACTTATGTACGTATACGTTAGCAACGGAATCCAATTACGAGACACCCAAAATGTGTAAACAATTTCTCCGTTTTCTCAAAATGAATATCTACTGAGCTAAAAGTTCAACAGGTTAGTTGTTGTGCTGCCTACTTAAGATTGTGAGCGATTTGTTGGTTTATACGAAAAAAAAACACCCAAAGCAAATGATACTATATACCTTTAAAAACCTGACCGAAAACAACATATTCCCTTTTTAACACGCCACTCTATTTCGCCCTAAGTAACTATTCCATACTGCAATGTGGTATATGTACAAAACATTTTGTTGACAAAAATAACATTAAACTTTAAATAATGTCGTTTTCACTGATTATTATTTTGATTACCAACTGCCGCACATGGCACTGCTGGCAGTTTGTATTGACATTTTTCCAAACCTCGGCCTCCTTCCAGGTTCAGCGTTTCAGGAGAAATCAGGCCCCTAACCTGGGGAACTCTGGCTCAATGTGATGCTTCAAGAACATATAATTGCATAACGCAACAGGACAAAGTTTGAAATGCTTATATTTGGCTTATACTTTCAATGTTTTATTCTGGAGCCAGAGTCGAAGCCGGAGTTTGGAAAACCTCCCTAGTCACGACCTTTGACCCTGTTATAGGCTACCAAACTTTTCAATAATTAACTGACTATAGATTGCACACAAAGCGTGCTTCAAACGTTACCGGTGGATATATAGAACGTTTCTGATACACAACTTCATATACAAGCAAAGAAGAGATATATATTGAAATACTAAAACAAACATTAACAAATATGCAGCAATCGTTAATTAATACAAACAAATTAAGGTCATAAGACTGACAATAAGTCCTACTTTCGCTTCGTCTGACCCAAACAAAACGAAAGTTTTTTTTTCTAACAAGACATATTGAAACGTCAGTTTTGAAACCTTCTTTCGACAAGTCTTCACTTTTATAATCAGCTTTTTTTTAAGACAAATATCCAAATACTTTCCAACCATCTCTTCAGACATATCTGTTAAGACGTTTGACGATCGTTTTAACGACACATTTCCGCTCACAGCGCACATATTTTGGGGGTTAGTAAAACTTAATTGAACTCATCTTAAAATTAAAACGCTCAAAGCTTTGGAGACTTTATATAAACAAATGTTAAAAAAAAAATTCGACAGAAACAAAAATGATGAAATATTCAAGCAGAGTGATTCAAACAATCTCCCGCGGGAGTCATAATTATTTGAACCGTTTTAATTTGTTTCCGTAAAAACTTTTTCTAAATGTCAACATTAATGTTTCAACACATGAATACATTTAAAAGAACTTCCTGTTGAAAACCAAATTCCATATCTCTTAATCAATCTGGATAATTTAAAGGCATAATACAAGCCATATATGGAACGGTATTAGTGACAAAAAAAATCCTAGCAATAATATTTTATAAAGTACTTGAACGTGTCATGTAACTTGAAGATCATGTTAGCAACTAGTGTGTTAACATAATATCCTTCCAAAAATAAAAACAAAAACAAAGACCATCATAAAAAATAGGTTTGAGATATACAATTGAAAAGAGATACATGTATTAATACTTAAATCTGGCAGAGAAAAGAGAACAAAAGTCAAACTGATGATCTGAGCTCAGTTTATCACCGTGCTGAAGTGACCTTTATCAAAATGCGCATATCCCACACAATGTGCTCATGCGCGTTGTGTGGGGTAAATTCAGCACGGGGTAAAACAGAGAAGAAGCCGTGCCCCTCTCAGGTCTTGACCACCTATGCCGTAGACACGAAGAGAGGGTTAACCTGCTTGACTTGCGGGCAGCACGAGTGCATGATGGCTTTGAACAACAGAGGCGCGTTGTCGAAGGACACATCGCGGATCTTTCGCGCCAAAAACCTGACGTCAGGCAGCAAGAGGAGAAGGGCGCGAAAGCGGTCGCTGGCCAAGTTGTTGTTCAGCTGCACGTGGTCGTGAAGCACATAGTAGTGCTGCTGGCTCAGCTCCTCCACCACCGCGGGATCAACCAGGTCGCCAGCATCTGTTGATGTTGGAGTAAAAGAAAACCAAGAAGCAGTAGGTTTTAGATAAAAGGAATATAATTAAACATTTGACTTGGTGTTTGTTCACTTGTCGTTTGCAAACGCTTGTTTAACCATGTTTACATACAGTAGGCTTATTAGTTTGCCGGACCCAAAAAGCCAAGCATATTGACGGATGGACAGATTGACTGACTGATTTAATTAGGACTGACTGACTGTGCTGATTGATTGACTTCAGAGGCTGACTGACTCCCCGGGCGGACTGACCGACTATTGCTGACTGATTGACTTCAGACTGACTGACTGATTGATTGACTTCAGGCTGATGACTGACTCCCCCTCCCCCGACTGACTATTAAACTGACTGACTGACTCCCCGACGAACATAGTCACTGAGTATTAATAATGTCATCAGCTGAGACTTTCGGGTCTAGCTCGACTAGGCATGATCAGTCTTGTTCCATTTGGAAATGCATCATAGAGCATTTAAATAATACAATGCTGTTCCTCAACATCAATAAAAACAATATAGAATACCTTAGCTCTGCTCTTTACTCCGAAGATTCAACGAGAGGACAGAAATGTGCCTTACCTGGGTTCAGGAAGTTGATAACCTTGATGCACAGATATTCCTGGACGCTGACTCGCAGTAGCTGATACTTGCTGACCATCGCACTAGCTTTGTCGATGATTTCCAATCCGGTCTGACCGAATCGACGCAGCTCTTCCTCACTCGGGATGTAGTTGTTGAGTAGGACGGCCAAGTCGGCGAAGACAGCCGGGGGTTGGCTATGGAGCGCGGCCAGAAGGATGGTCTCGCACCAGGTGCTGCTGATCAGAGCCGTGATGTCCTGGACGGTCAGCTTACAGGCGAATGGAAGCCGCTTGACCCACTGGACTTGATGATGGATCAAGCGGTCCATCAACATGCATAGGAGCTCGAAGATCTCCGAGTAGTTGGACGGTTTGTCGCTGGGGAGGAGGAAGGGTAAGGTCAGGGGCTCCTCGGGCTCGGCGATGATCAGCACCTCAATCTCCGGGAGCATGGTCATGGGTGGCAGCTGCTGGATGGAGCTCTGGGAGCTAGAGCGCCGGTTCTTGCGAGGCTTGTACGCCTCGCGTGGCCGGCCGTTGTACGGATCCCTCGGCAGCGGCGGCTGGGCGCCACCATCCCCTGACGGGGAAGGCCCGGGGAAAGTGAACCGCTCTATCGCCTCCGGGGAAAAATTGGTGTTGCTGCCCATGGAGGTAGGGGAGAACTGGTCCGAGATGCCGTCACTGCGGGTGGGGCTTCCCGTCTGCTCGCCCGGGGTCCGGCCGGCTAGCATGTCTTCCCTCTCGTACTCCTCACCGGTCATGATGCGCTCAATGTCCTCATCCGTCAACTGCAAAGTGTGAGGCAAAATGAGGGTTTAGATGGACCGAGTAACTCGCTTAAAGTTTATCCCGGAACTTGGGAGAGGATAAATTAAGAGAACTGAAGACAGACGATTGGTACAGAGAAAGGAAAGACTGACATACAGTGAAAGAAGGAAAACTAACCAACAAACAACCAGTATCAATCAGACTGCATTAATATCGATATTCAGTATGTAGCAACAATTTGGTGAAACGCGTCATCCCGATGGTTGTATCGTTCTTTCTTTGTATCCAAATAATTCCTGGCCCTTCTTGAAGAGTAAGGGAAGGGCAAAGGCTGCCTCAATGCATTAAGAGCACTCTCGTGTGTTCAGTAAAGCAGACACAATGAATCTAAATGTGCACCATTCAAAGTTAGCACAGTCTGTCCTTTTCCTTTTAAAGGTGAACGTCTTCTAGGACGGCAGAGCAAAAATAGAACAGGTATTAATGTCATACATTTACGAGGATGCGTTTAAATACGCAAAAATTGAAAATAAAAGGTAAACCCATATTTTAGAAAAAGGGCATATTAATTTGTTACTGTGGATAAGAAAAACCTCTGAAAACAATGTGGACATACAAACAAAATAGAAATCTGTAATGAAATGTCATAAATGAAAATAAACAATACAATGTTTTTGGTAAACAGAAATGTATTACTAACTGAAAAAAAATATGTGAATGATCTAAAAATCTTCACGTTTTCCAGGTTTGAAATAAAAGAACAGTTTTGCGCCCTTGCGTATATTCAACCTCTGTTTTTCTGTTCATGTTCCAGCTGTGAGATAATTTGAACAGGTGGACCCGGGAAAGCGACCAGCGACAATTCAATAAGAGGGAGAAAAGGGCGGGAAAAATAAGCACTGTGACAAATCAGCCTCAAAAGAAAGCCCGCCAAAACCTGATTCAATAATCCTCAGTGGACAAAATAACACAGCCGTTTTCCCGACGCGAGTGTAAAAAAGGCGGGAACAGCTGACCAGAGACGGAGAAGTATTAGTTGGGGGAGAAAATGGCTCAAGCCCGGTCAGGCGGACTCGGAACTCCCCGAGGATTAGATTCTTTTCCGGGGAAAACTTCTCGGGGGTTAATCGTTTCAAGGTTTTGACGAGAAATAGGACAAGACAAGTCACAGTGAAATATTCCCCGGAGACGCGCGCGCGCCGGCGCGGACCAATCAGCGCGCGCCGTTGACCCAGCGCGATAATAAGCGCGCCATGTTGGTTTCCGCTGACCAATCAACATGGCGGATGTGCGTTACGTAACACGCATCAAAGCACTGCTCATCGTCTGCCCCCTGGGGCCTGGAGCCTGCAGAGCATGTGAAAGGTGCCTTTTTGTCTTCGAAGTTTCAACCAATCACGTCGGCGCAATTTTCCAGGTACCCCCTGCCGGAAATCAGCAATACAGACGGGAAAAAAAAATAATTCAGTGCAGTAACTTATGACCCTTGTATGTTTTAAAAACGAGGTATTGAGCTAAAAGTGCATCTTAAAATGTTGAGCCGGCCATGTGCCCCCGGCCCGTTAGAAAAATTAGCTGTGCGGTATCGCATTCTATTCGATATCAACGTTGATGGCGCCATTGACGGGAGCAGACTTTAATCCTTAACGCGTACTTTTGTACAATGAACAAAACAAAATTTGGCTATTAATTATTCGTAGCCACCCTAATTGGACAGAAGCCCCTATAAGGAAATCTATAACTTCGGTAATAACCTCCGCATCCTGAAATGTTTTAATGAGACAGGGAATTGCGTCTGTTTCCTCCTGAATTCCAAATTGAAATCACTGCTGATGAGGCTCAATCTAAGAAGTGACCTCGTCTGGACGGTTTCAAGAAAGGAGAAGGTCGAACGTGCTGCGCACAGACGTGCCTCTGGCATTTTCTAGCCAAAGTCAACTAAATATTGCATAAAACGTGCTACACACTTTGCGTGAAAACTGTGACATGGTGGAACGACTCCGATTGTACGTGTATTGTGTGAACGCATAAACACTGCCTTATGGGGTACCGGAACAATGGGAGGTACCCCACAAGGAATGCCCACCGACTTGCGGGGTATACCGTTTTGGTACCCCACAAGGTTTTCACGAAATTTATTTTTTATTTACTCAAAAACTAGGAATTTCCAAGGTGGGTTGATTTGTCACAAATGGAAGAGTTTTAGAAAAGGGATATTAAGTCCGAATTTCAGACCAGGAAATTAATTCTGGTTAAAATAAGAGCATTTTGAAATTAGTGTGCGACATTGCAAAATTTTAGTACACGAGAACAAAGGAAGTACCCCACTTATATGCCTATGTAAGGGGGTGTGAACGTAATAGTGCGTTTACGTCCTGATGCCGAAACAATGTCTGCAGTTAAGTTACAAAAATCCTCCGAAGGAAGAACCGAAGAGGCAAAGCAAAAGTACAAGTAGGCCTACATCATCTCGGAAAGCTTCACAAGTTTGCAAGATCGTGCGACCTGTCTACATTTATTTTCTTTCTAAGTTGACAGTTTGCTCTTTTTCGGACAGACTGCTGATACCAAGACTACACGATATTTCACAAGTTTGCAAGGTCGTGTGACCTGTCTACATTTCTTTCCAAAGTTGGCAGTTTTGCTCTTTTTCGGACAGACTGCTGATACCAATTCAAGACTACACGATATTTCCACAGTCGCTTTTATTGTTCTAAGAATTCCAAAAATGATTTGGCTGTGATCAAATCATTGGGCCCTCCAGCCTCCGTACTTTTACGATTCATTTGATTAAGGTCACTCCAGTTAGTAAGACGTTTGCAGGAGTTTCTTTTTCTATCTTTATTCTGTTTGAGGCTGGGTGTGGTAGGCCAAGTTGACATTTGGAGTTGAGCCTTCTGTTTCCTTGCTCAAACGAACGAAATGGAGGATCACTTGCATTCTCAAAAGTAACTGAACTATTATCAAAAAGCTTGCTTGGATTAAACACCCTGTGAAATTATTCCGTCTATAGCTTGCTATCGCTTTATAGAACAAAATCAATCAAGAAATGAAGGTGATTTCCAACGGTGTCAATTGACTGATTTTTGAAAATATCCACTAAGCTGAAACTTCAACATGTTAGGTTTTGAACATTCTGCTATGGATTCTCAGTGGTGTTATTACTGGAAACGCAAAAATGCATGAAAATCAAATGAACCAATATGCCTTTGATTGTAGGGCTTCCTCCCACCATGCATGCCTACGCAAGACACACACCGTGAACGTGATCAGGTCCGACCGGCAGAGCGCGCGCGCGTGCCCGCGGACAAGCCTCGCTATGCGGGCTGGCTGAGCCTTGAACCGTGTTACGAGTAGATGAAATCACCAGATCCCCAGGATCGTGATTGACGGAGGAGGAGTAATGCCGTCAATATGGTTGCAGGTCAGGCAAGAGGTTTCCCCAAATCGCCTGCACAGACCTAATCACGATTTGCATGCCCCCAATATCTTTCTAAATAAAGAGATGTGCGGCTCGCGCATTTTGGAGTCCCAGCTGTGAGCTGAACATTGTATTTCTGAAAAAAAGTGGATGAAATTGGACCTGGTAGAAGTTTTGCCTGGAGTATGAAGAACCATTGTCAAATTTCAAAACCACTTTTACTTCGACAAGATAAGTTTGCGGTAGCACCATGTAAATAAATCTCTTTTGTGAGTATGTGTGGTTCTGAAAAGAACCGGAGGGACTCAACGTTTCGAACAGTATGCTATGTCATTCTACTGACGACGGGCATAGCATACTTTTCGAAACGTTGAGTCCCTCCGGCATTTTTTGGTCAGCGAAACAATCTTGGGTGTGGGGGTATCTTGTGCCCTACCAGTCAAAAAGTTCGACGGGGGATACCACATCATCCCCATCCCCAGAATTACGCCCCTAGATGCAACACAAATCATTGATTTCCGTACTGACTGCTTTCCCTAGATCATTATAATGTGCGTCTTTGTCAAAGAAACTGGATTATTTCGGACAGGCATAAGGAAAACGAATCTTTAAAAAAGATGATGAAATAGAATGTAATCACAAATCGTGCAGATGGTAAACGGAATTCGAAAATCGACATCAGCTTTGTTGCCAGCATTATATACACGTGGTTAACACTTCACATGCATTTCAAGAACATTTACTTCCATCTCTTCACAACATTTGATTAAAATACAAAATAAAGAAAAAATATACTGATGGAGGCATGTTAACAAAAGCCGAAGCTTATAACAATATAACATGCCTGTACACAGTCATACATAACAACTCACAAAGTAGACGAACGTTTAGAGAGAACAAAAACAAAAATAAGTACAAACAAGCAAGTAGAGAAAAAGGACAACCAAATATGATAAACGTTACAAAAGTGCAATAATAATAACAATGCAGCTAGAAAATTACAAGAAAAATTGAAGAAATCTCATTTTTAAATACCAGGAGCAGATCCAGCTGTCAAAGTTAGCCGCAAATCGGCTAAAGCGGTCACCATGCGCAGCAATTCATTCAGTTTACGTTCACATGGAAAATATTTGTTCAGATTCTTGTTAAATACACTCATGGTGTGTGAGTTGTTCTGTCCACCAAGAGAAAAAATATGTCTACAATAGGAACCAAGTTCAATAGAATTGAAAGGCACTTCAATGCAGAAGAAAAACCCTTGGCCCAGAAGCCGGACATCATGCCTTCTTAAACTCGCTAACAGCGTCTTACAGAATATCATTACTTTTTAACACGGAAACTCGTAATAACGTCGTGCGCAAAATTGTTAATCCGGTTTGCCAGTCTAATCTAGCGAGCCTGGGAACGGAAACCGAGAGAAAAATAAAGGGGCGGAGCCGGAAGCCGGAGGGAGAAGAAAATAAACCCCAACAATTCAAACGTCCGTCCCAAGAGGGCGCCTTCTTTCCAGCGACGGACAAGCTGGACCCCTACTGATAAGGGATCATGTTGAAAATTGAACATGATCTTAAAAGTTAAATTTAAAAATACCAACAAAAA